CCCCAAAACCCCAAAACCCCAAAACCCCATGAGTGCTCATCATTATATTGAACATTTAATTGATGATATGAAAGAAATTATTATAAGCAAGGCATAATTTATAAATAATCGGCTTTATAAAAATAATCACATTCTAAGAAAAAATTAAGCTTATCTTATAATAGAAATAAGCATGCAATCGTCAAGACAAACAAGAAGTTAAGGGTAGCCCCTTTTTAGTAATAAATTATCATAGTAATTGATGAAAATGTTTATAGGACTATCAAAGGATACTAAAATCTCAAAATTATAAGATACTGATGTAAAGAATAGTATATAAAATTCTGAAAAAATGTCTATAACCCAAGCTTTTAAACAAAACAAAAGAAGAAAGTATGATAACTAGAAGGCTAATGCGGACTCAGTCGATGTAAAACTACCCACTGTTAATTTTAACTGTAGTAACTCGCTAGGACAGAAAGCACAGTCTTAAGTGATTCAAATCAAAGTTCGAGCACACCAACACCGTCATTAAATAATCTCATAGGATCAAAGGTCTAGGAAATCGGTCGCACATAGAGGATCGCAGGCGACGATTCCATTTTGAATGAAATATTGGAAAATAAGGATTAGGATTACTCAGTTAAGAGACGAATAAACAAATCCTAACTCAAAAAGAGGCACGCAATGTCTAAGAGCAATAAGCTGACTAAGAGCATAATTATATAAAAACAGAAGAACTGATTCATTAATAATTAAACAGGGGAAAATGAGGCATTACTCAAAGCCATTTAAAATGAAGTTGAAAGTATTAAAACAAGGCCTAAACGTCTAATTTCACCCACAAGGAACCTTGGATATGAATCGTTGATGTCCACCGAGGAGGAAAGAATGATAAAATTGGCGATTAAGAATTCTTTGACAGAGACTTAAAACTCGAATGCCGCTTTAGATTAAATCGAGGAAATGATAAAATATTATCCTACCGAGGCAGAGTTCTTAGAGCCGATGAAATATATTGAAAAGATCACCAAAGAAGGTGCTGAATAGTACGGAGTAGTCAAGATTATACCACCTAAGTCATTTCAGCCTCCTCTAGCATTGGATTTATTTTCAAATGAAAAGCTTCCTACTAGGTATTAAATACTCCAAGAACTGTCTCAAGGAAAAGTAAATAAAATCTTATCATAACCCATTACAGCCTTTCAATCAGAATAACGACGGACAAACCTTCCAGGAGTTTGTTAAATTGTCTCAGGAACTAGTAAAAGATGATCCCAACCCAAGTTATTAGTAGTTAGAAAGAGATTATTGGAACTTTGTTGAGAATCAAGTAGGCCCCCAGATCAAGGTCGAGTATGCCGCAGATCTCCCAATCTAATAGTTTGGCTCTGCTTTCGGCCACCACGGCTAAAATTTCTACGACAAAAGGGTAGAGTAGTACCTAGATCATCCTTGGAATCTAAATAAACTGCCATCTTAACCAAATTCATTGATGCAATTTCCAAATAATCGTGATATATCAGGAATTAATATACCCTGGCTCTATATAGGAATGAGATACTCTACTTTTTGCTGGCATTATGAGGACTTAATGCTCTACTCTGTAAATTATAATCACTGGGGAAAGCCTAAGCTTTGGTATGGAGTGCCAGGAGCTGACAGAGAGAAGTTTGAAAAGGCGGTCAAATCTAAAGTTGCTTTACTTTTTAAGAAAGATCCAAACATTTTACTGGATATTATCACGATGATATCCCCTGCATATTTGATACGAAACAATGTAAGTAAGCGAAAAATTCGCTCTTTAGAGAGTCTTATTTTCAAACATAATAATTGCTTAAACAGTTCATTGACCTTTATTATAGGTTAAGGTTTACAAAACTTTATAAATGCCAGGTGAATTCATTTTAACATTCCCAGGTGCCTATCATGCGGGTTTCTCTACGGGTCTTAACATCGGTGAGGCTGTTAATTTTGTAACAAAAGACTGGATTAGTAGTGGCTTAAAATGTTAATCTATTTACAGAAAGTCAAGAGAAAAAATTCCTGTTTTCCCTATCGACTGGTTAATTCTTGAAAATGTTGCTAACCTGGATAAGATTGATGTTGACTAGGATACTAAAGTAAAGCTGAAGGAAACATTTCAAGACATAGTTAAGAACGAACTCAGAATGAGAAAAGAGGTTGAGGATTTGATTTTGGCTGAACGACCTGAGACAAAAAATAAAAAAACTCACATTATGCTTGAAAACAGGGACTAAGTAGCAGAAGACGAATAGTAGTGTTTCTATTGCACGGATTTCGCCTATATGTCCATGATCAAGTGCTCTCATCATTAGATTACCTATTGCCTTAATCACTAACTTGCATGTGATTGCTCAGCTGATAAATTAACAGTGATCTACAGATATTCTAATGAGGAACTATAGTCATTGGAAAAGTCAATCATTAATTACTGTAATAACAAAGACTATAAGGAGTAGTAAGCTCTATTGAGGAAGCAGGTGCCTGTGAAGTAATCTAATATTCAAAAACAACATGAATAGCCTAAAATAGTGCCAGTCTAGAAGTAATCAGTAACCCCTATAATGTCATAAAAGGAGCCTGAAAGAATCCCTTAATTTGAAGAGTTTTAAGCAAAAGAGATACCTATGATGAAAAACCTTAGGATTAAGTAGAAGGTATTTATATGAGTAGATTTAAATGTTGATGAAAGACCAAGATAAGTCTGATTGCTAAGGTTTGAAATTCAGAAATAGTTTTAAGTTAGAGGACAGTAAAATATCTTAATACTGCTCTACTCTAATTAACTCTATTAGCTAATTTGGAATTGAAAGTTACCTTTTAGTATATAATTTAATAATAAGATTAATTTACTAAGAATTATATATTAAGAAGACACTTCGTATGTCTATGAGATAACCTACTTGTGTTGCATGTTAAATGAAATGTATATATTGAACTACAAAATTGATTCCTTGCCCTTAAATCTACTTCATGGGGTTTTGGGGTTTTGGGG